ATAGACTCTAAGTCCATCCAGGTTGCTGTGAAGTTCATGATTTTGTTCTTCTTTTTGGCTGCATAATATTCCATCGTGTATATGTACCACATTTTTTTAGTCCAGTCCTCTTTTGATGGGCAGTACAGTTGATTCCATGTTCCTGCCACTATAAACAATGCTACAATAAACATACATGTACAGGTATCTTTTTTATAGAGTGATTTGAATTCTTCTGGGCATATTCCCAGGAGGATTGTGGGGTCATATGGAAGGTCGATTTGTAGATCTTTTAGAAATCACCACACTGTTTTCCACAGAGGCTGTTACTAGTTTACACTCCCACCAACAGTGTAGAAGTGCTCCCTTTTCGCTGCATCCTCTCCAGCATCTGTTGTTTTTTTACAAGTTATTGATGATGGCCATCCTGACTGGAGTTAGGTGGTAGCCCAGTGTGGTTTTAATTTGCATTTCTTTGATGATTAGTGAGGCTGAGCATTTTTTCATGTATCTGTTGGCTGCTCATATGTCTTCTTTTGAGAAGTGTCTATTCATATTGTTTGCCTACTTTGTAATGGAGATGATTATTTTTTTCCTTTTGGCATGTTTGAGTTCCTTGTAGATCCTAGATGTTAGGCCTTTGTCAGACATAGAGTTGGCAAATATTTTTTCCCATTCTGTAGGCTGTTTCCCCTCTCTCTTGATCGTTTCTATGGCTTTGCACAAGCTTATCAGTTTGATGAGGTCCCAGTTGTCTACCTTATCTTATATGGCATGGGCACTTGAGGTTTTGATCAGGAATTGGTTGCCAGTTCCAATTTCCTTAAGGGTGTCCCCTGCATTTTTAAGGTTCTTATAGTTTGAGGTTTTACGTTTAGGTCTTTGATCCATTTAGAGTTGATTTTTGTGTATGGTGATAGGTAGGAGTCTTGTTTTAATCTTCTGCATGTGGTCAGACAGTTTTCCCAGCACCCTTCACTGAACAGGTTCTCCTCTCCCCAGTGGTTGGTGGTGGAGGTTTTGTTGAAGATGAGTTGGTTGAGAAATTGGGGTTTTGCTTCTGGAATCACTATCCTGTTCCATTGGTCTATATGCCTGTTCTTGTACCAATATCAGGCTATTTGATTATTGTAGCTTTATAATAAAGTTTAAAGTCTGGGAATGTGATACCTCCTGTTTTGTTTTGGTTTTTTACTGAGGATTGTTTTGGCGATTCACAGTCATTTATATTTCCGTATGAATTCCTGTGTTGTTTCCAGGTCTGAGAAGAATGCTGCTGGTAATTTAATGGGTATTTGCATTAAATCTGTAGATTGCCTTGGGTAGGATGGACATCTTAACAATGTTGATTCTTCCAATCCATGAGCATGGAATATTTTTCCATTTGTTTGTGTCATTTTTTAATTCTTTGAGTAGTGTTTTGTAGTTTTCATTGGGTAGGATGGACAACTTAACAATGTTGACTCTTCCAATCCATGAGCATGGAATATTTTTCCATTTGTTTGTGTCATTTTTGAATTCTTTGAGTAGTAGTTTGTAGTTTTCATTGTAAAGGTCTTTCACATCTCTGGTTAGGAAGATGCCAAGGCTTTTTTTTCTGGCTATTGTGAATGGGTTTGTACTTTTATTTGGGTTTCTATTGGTTTATTGTTGATGTATAGAAATGCAACTGTCTTTTGCACATTGATTTTATACACTGAGATTTTGCCAAAGTCCTTTATCAGTACAAGGAGGTTTTTGACAGATTCTTTTGGGTTTTTGAGGTATAGAATCATGTTGTCTGCAAAGAGGGCTAAGTTGACATCCTCTTTTCCTATTTGGATACTCCTGATTTCCTTCTCTTGTCTGATTGCTCTAGCTAGGACTTCCAAAATTATGTTGAAAAGGAGAGCTAAGAGTGGGCATCCTTGTCTTGTCCCAGTTTTCAAGGGAAATGGTTCCAATTTGTGTCTGTTTAGCAGTGTGCTGGCTGTGGGTTTCTCGTAGATGGCTCTTACTATTTTGAGATATGTTCTGTCTATGCCTAGATGTTCGAGGTTGTTTATCAAGAAGGAGTACGGGATTTTATCAAAAACTTTTTCCGTGTCTAATGATATAATCATGTGGTTTTTGTTTTTGCATTTGTTGATGTATTTAACTACGTTATGGTCTTATGAATGTTGAACCAGCCCTGCAGTCTGAGGATGAAGTCTACTTGGTCGTGGGAATGATTTTTGAGATGTGTTGTTGAATCCTTTTTGCTAGGATCTTGTTGAGAATTTTAGCATCTATGTTCATCAAGGATATTGGCCTATAGTTCTCCTTCTTTGTTGAATCTTTACCTGGTTTGGGTATCAATGTGATGTTAGTTTAATAAAATGATTTGGGGAGAGTTCCATCTTTCTCAATTGTCTGCAATAATTTCAGTAGGATTGATATCAGTTCCTCCTTGTATGTTTTGTAGAATTCTGCTGGAAAGCATTCTGGTCCAGGGACTTTTTTTTGTAGGTAGTTTTTCTTATGACATGGTCAAAGTTCCTGGATTGTTGCTGGTCTATTTAGGATCTCGATTTTTTCTTGTTTCAACTTGGGGAGATTGTGTGATGTCAGAAAGCCCTCCATTTCCTTTAGGTTTTCAAGTTTGTTTCCACATATATGTACATAGTAGTCTCTGATAATTTTTTGTATTTCTTCAGGGTCAGTTGTAACTTGATCTTTTGCATTTCTTATTGTGTTTATTAGGACTTTTTCTCTCTTTTTCTTGGTCATTCTAGCTAGGGAACCACCAATCTTGTTTATCCTTTCAAAGAACCAGCTTTTTGTTTTGTTGATTTTTTAAAATTTTTTTATTTTTTTTTGTCTTCTAGGTCCCAAATTTGGGCTTTTATTTTGGTGACCTGGATTATTATGCTGAAGTTAGGGTTTTGGGTTTTGGTGGTCTTGCTTTTCCAGCTCCCTTAGGCAATTTGTTTAGCCATCAACTTGTGATCTTGCCATTTTCTTCATGTGTGTTTGTAGAGATATGAATTACCCTCTTAGTACTGTTTTCATGGTATCCCAGAGGTTTTAGTAAGATGTTTCATTTTCATTTGTTTCTGGGTATCTTTTAATATCTGTTTTGATTTCCATGTTGACCCAGGAGTTGCTTGGCATCATGCTGTTTAACGTCCATGTCTTTGTGGCGTTTGGGGGAACTTTGTTGGTGTTGATATTTATTTTTATTCCACTGTGGTATGAGAAGGTACATGGCAGTATTTCAATCTTATGAAATTTGTTTATGCTTGACTTATAGCCAAGGATGTGGTTGATCTTAGAGGACATTCCATGTGGTGATGAGTACAATGTATATTCTGTGGTTGTTGGGTAGAGTGTTCCAGAGGTATCAGTTAAAATCCATTTGGTCAAGTGTCATGTTGAGGTTCTGGATCTCATTGTCTTGATGATCTGTCTAGGGTCATGAGTGGGGTATTTAAGTTCCTAAGTATGATAGTGTTAGAGTCAATATATTTTTTAAGTTTACCTAGAAGCTGCTTTATGAAAGTTGGTGCTCCTGTGTTGGGTTCATATATATTTAGGATGGATATTTCTTGTTGATGAATTGAACCTTTTATCATTATGTAGTGATCTTCTGTATCTTTTAAAATTTTTGATAGCTTAAAGGGTATTTTGTCTGATAGTAAAATTGCAACTCCTGCTTTCTTTTGTGTTCCATTCGCCTGAAATTTTGTTTCCCATTCTCTTACTTTGAGTCTGTGAGTGTCCTTTCTGGTGAGACGAGTCTCTTGGAGACAATATATTGTTGCCTCATCATATTTTATTCATTTTGCCATTCTATGTCTCTTCAGTGATGCATTTAGTCAGTTCACATTCAGGCTAATCATTGAAATCTGAGAGTATTCCTGTCATGAGGTTCTTATAGAGTTTGTTGTTGTTGTTGCTGTTTCTTTTCTTTCTTTTGATTTTTGAGTTGATTCATGTGTTTTCAATCTTTTCCCTGCATTCTTATGAAGGGCGTTGTCATTCTTTTTTTCCTTTCTTCTGTGTTTAATACTTTCTTAAGTGTTTCTTGTAGAGCTGGTCTGGAGGCAGCATAAGTTCTTAGGGATAGAATGTCTGAGAAAGAGTTTAATTCTCCATCACTGATGAAGCTTAGCTCTGCTGGGTAGGTAATTCTTGATTGAAATTGTTTATTTTGAGGACTTTGAAGATTGGGCTCCAAGCTCTCCTCACCTGTACTGTTTCTGTGGATAAGTCTGCTGCTATTCTAATTGGTCTTCCCTTGTAGGTAGTCTGACATTTTTCTCTTGCTGCCTTTAGGATTTTTTATTTTATACCTACTTTGTGTAGGTGAATTACTCTATGTCTAGGGGTTGGCCTACTCATTTATCATCTGCAGAGGTTCTCTGAATCTCTTATGTTTGAATGGTCATGTCACTGATGAGAT